AAATTATTTATATCTAAACTTAATCAAAGATATCTTCACAGTAATAAAATGTAAATCCATTGACGAATTCATAACACAATAATCCCGTTTGCTTGAACAATTTCATCTAACAAGATCATGAAATCACAAGTTCATTACTCTGTATGGACCTTGCATTTTCAAGTACTGAAAAAATATTAAGTGATTAAATTTGAACATGAATTAAAATACTAAACATAAATTATACAGTCTAAAGTATAGCCTTCTTCACTATTCACCTGGATAACAAGCGAAGGACCACCAGCAGTAATCTCAGGAGGAATTTGTGATAATGGACAATTTTCTATTGACATAATTTCAAGTGATGCACAAAGCGCAAGTTCAAAGGGTAAATTATGAAGAGATGGATTATCATTGATATACAGACTTTTTAACGAATCCAAATTGCCTGTAAAAAATTAGAATGGTAATTTAAATATATGCAATTAAAAACACTTTATTTTTATGACCTGGCAATTACTTTAAAGCAAAAATAATTGAGAATAAAACTCCTACAATCAACACTTCACAAAAGTTCTGAATTTTCTACACAATCACATTACAAACTATTCGAAAATATTTCAATCCAAAGTTTACTGTACTTCTAAATACTTTTTTCAAATCCAACTAACCGATCTCCTCTGGTAGTGATGTTAGACTGTTTTCTCCAGCCCGTAAATCAGTTAGATTAGTCAAGTTCCTGAAAATGTTATGTTAGTGCAAAATTTAATAAGATAGAAAAAAGGCAAGTTGGAGATGCAGTTGTAAATAAACAAACAGAAATCAAAATACATTGACTCACCCAATTGTTCGAGGTAAGCCAACCAATTTATTAGACTGTACCCAAAGCTTTGTTAAACTCGTCACAAAGCCTAAAATTAAACTATAGCTGCAAATAGTACAATTAATATTCATCATTACCAATCTGAATATGTCTATATACTGAACAAATGATGTGCATGCAAGAATGACACCAACCGATTTCATTAGGTATAGTATCTAATTCATTTTCCTCCAGATCTAATTCGCGAAGCTTCTTCAAACATCCAATTTGTGATGGGAGTTTTTTAAGCATATTGTTACTCATTATGAGGACCTGTAAAACACCAGTTTATATTGGCTTATATCTTAAATTGAATCAAAAAAATTTTGATATTATCAATACATAACCATCGTTTCACCAATTACAGAAATTTATCAGGTTGCAATACTGTTTACACACTTCTAAATTGACAAGCTTATCAATATCATCAGGAAGCACTCGCAGTTGATTTGTTGATAAATTTAACTCAGCCATTGCTGCCCAACAACCCATATCTGCAAATCCCACAAGGAATATGTACTTAGTCTTAAGTAGGACAACAAAATAATCTTTTCAAATTTTAAAAGCTATGGAATAAAACTCAATCAACAAAAATGGAATGCCCAATAATAAATTTCAGCTTTTAAAAACAAACCAAGTGGCATCGATGTAAGCGCATTTTCTTTTAAATTAAGCTTCGTTAAGCCAACTGCCTTAGAGAATATACCAAACGGAATCTTTGCTATTGAATTGTGTTCCATATTTACTGACTGAATACAAAATTAAAATTAATTTAACTATGTTACAGCGAAAAGATACTTTAATACAATGCAGAATTCTTTCTCGCTTGCTAATTATTCTCAAATAACGAAAAAAAAAGTACTTCCGAAAAACCAATAATTCATTTTCAATTAAAAAAAGTTTCAGAGGCAGTGTTAAGTCGTTCTTATAAAATCTATAGTTGCATTTTTACTAAAAAGTATAAGAAATCGTAAAATACGGTTACTTTCATTGCGACCAAGCAATACAAAAAAATGAAGAAAAAAACCCAATTGTTTACGAATATTACTAGCAAGAAATGCAATTTAAAAGAAAACAAAAATGAATTTCAGATATTTATCCAAGCAGTAAAAATTTACAAACTGCAAAAATATTCAAAGAAAATCCAAATTTTGTTTTGAAAGTAATCTATTGGCACGAAGCCATAAATAAAATATTTCCTCACAAAATTTATTAATTATTTATGCCAAATATATGCAAAATTTTGGTAAAACAAGCACACCATGCAAGATGCAAACTGCTGAGGTCCACCAGACGGAAACATTGTCAACTCATTTCGGCTTAAATTAACAGTCTTCAAATTGGGCAGTGAAGCAAGCATACCCTCCTGAAAGTTTAAAAATTAATTATTTATAATGAAATTATATTTTAGCTATTATCAATCTATTCCAACATAAAGGTACGGAAAGTAGCTGAGAATAAACATTTCATTTCTTAGAATAGTGTCTATATAAAAGTACGACACAATTATAAATTTTCAGAAATACATTATTAATTAAAGTGTTCGGAAATTAACTCATTAAATAAACAACAAATGCTTGAAGGATTTAACAACATTTTATACATTTTAATTAAAGTTATCAATGAAATGTTTTTTTAAAAAGATGTTTTAAAAATTCTGAATGAAAGATAAATTTAAATAATTTGTTTAAGCTATGTAATAGTTATTACAAGTTACTGATTTATTATATTATTTAATCAATAATGAAAATAATAAATAAACTAACCGGTAAAACTTCTAACTGATTACTTTCCACAATAAATTCTTCTAATTTATGACAAAATGCCATTCCAGAAGGTAAATGTCGTAATTTATTGTACCGTATGCCTAACCGAACCAAATTTTGTAGTTTACCCATAGACTGCGGTAATGAAATGAGATCATTGTGTTGTAAATCCAACTGTGTAAGCTCGGAGCATTCACCAATCTCTAAACAACATATGGTGGTAGCTATTATTATCAAAGATGTTACTAATTACGAAAACGATTAATATGTAAAACAAAGCCTTAAAAGTATGAGCAAACATATATCAGACAAAAGCGCTTTAATAAAATATTGCCAATTAATATTTTAATATTCTTAATAGTGATATTATATGTAATTAAACTAGCACTTTACTATATTATTTTTAAGTACCCAATTTTATGTTAAAAAATAATAATTAAAAGAAGAAACCTTCAGGAACAGTTTTTAAATGATTATAACTGAGCAGGCACACGATAAGCGATTTAATTTGTCCAATCGTTGGAGGTAATTCGCGTATTTTGTTTTCCCGTAAATCAATCATTTTCAATCGTTTCAAACAACCAATTTCTGAACCAATAGAAATAATACGATTATAACGAAGCCATAAAGTTTCCAATGAAATAATTTGGTAGATCACTGATGGCAACTGAAAAAATTAAAATTGAAATCAGAAAATGATAATTATCGATATTCTATAATTTCAAATACAAATCATGAACTATTTTGTTTTTTTCTATTTTATTAAATATAGTTTACTGCTCCTTAGAAAAAAGAAAATTACGTCCTAAAATTTATTACAAAAAATAAACTAACTTATTTTAATATTTGTTTTAATAGCGTACATAGACAGAGTTTATTGCAAGAAATAATATTACTTAAAAATATTTTTGTATTATAAACTTTTAGCTGACCTCACACAATTTATTATGACGTAAATCAAGTGTTTCAAGCTGAGTAAGTGATGCAAGTGTGTCTGGCAATGATGTGAGACCATTTTCACTTAAACCCAACTTTTTCAAATTAACTAAGTTACCAATTTCATTTGGTAATACAGTTAATTTATTCTTATACAAGAAAAGTTCGGTTAACTGAACCAAATCACGAATGGATGATGGAATACTGATGATCTAAAATACTAATTTAATCCACTCAATAAAATATAACAATTCTATTTCAAATTAACTTTGTATATGAATTTAAATCGGTAATTTGAAATAGTGAATATTTTATGATTTGTAAAATCTAACAGTAATTCTCAAAAGTTAGAGACCAAAAATTCTTACATCAGAAGAACTCAAATCCAATCTCATTTCTGCATTATCACGACACCTTTGCAGATCTCTTTGTAAATCCTGAAACTATTTAAATGACTAAAGTGACAAAAATATTATTAATAGCAACAATTTGGACTTACAGATTGTTTTCAATATTTTTTTTCACATAATTACTTAAACATATGCATTTTCAAAGTATAAACAAAAACACAATTTATCATTCAAAAACATATTCCTTTCCTTCGGGAAATCATTTAGTTCTTCATTTTTTACCCAAATTTAATTAAAAAAGTTATCTTTACACATTTGGTTAGCTTGATATAAAGAGCTAATAAAAAGAAAAGTTGCTAATAATACAACACAATTAGTAAAGAATACACAATAAACAGTTATATTCATAAATAAATTTTACTTCTATAGTTGTTTTTCAATAGGAGAAAACTGTACAAATGTGACAGATCCAAGTGCTAAAGATTTTTTTGGTTTTATCTTATATAACTTGCGTACTTGGTCATTTTTTAGATTCATCTTTCTCCATATAAAAAGTTATGCAATTCATTTCAACTTGTCTGAATTGTAAATGAATTCTGCTCCATAGAGTAGATTTAGAGATGAAGATAAAGAAGGATAAAACTATTTTCAGACTTTAATTACCCATAAAACTACACAAATTAGCAGCTTATTATTATTTTCTCTCATCAATATTACCAAAATGCCATCAGTACAAACAAATTTTATATCGTATAAATTATTATTAGAAAAAGACTCCAATCCAGTACAAATTAATTATTGCATGCTTAAAGGGTGAAAAATAAATAAATGAAAACCCTTCGTGGTCGTTCATCAAAGTTTCGGGACTGAGTAGGACGCTCTGATAAGCTACTACGATATTTGCCCCGAGCAAAACTGGATAAACGCTCGATAAATGCCCCAGGTGATTTACTTCTGCTAACTTTCAAATTTTTTCCGTTTTCCTTAGAGGAAGGACGAAATTCGAAATTTGTTGTTGGTGATGCGATAAAACGAGGTTGTTGTTGTTGTCGTTGGTCATGATTTATAATACCATTATTAGTACTAGAATTACTACTACCTGTATTACTACCACTTGGGAATTCATGTCCATTCATTTTTCTACTATTGTCTTTTGCGATATCTGTCATTTTTTCAGCAGTTTGAATACAAAATCGGATCGCATCCGGAATACGTGCAGTAGAAGGCAATGAGTTACAGTTTGAATGACCAGTGAATTTATTACCACTAGCCAGCTCGTCCTGAACTTTTACACAAATAAATACAGAAATTGCACAAGAAAACCTACTACCACCACTAGCTCCTCAATAAAATATATTCAAAAAAATATTAAATGATCATCACAAACAATTGCAACCAAACACAGGCAATGCTACAATGCATTATGTCTTAAACTGACTATATTATACATTAATGTCATGGTTATAAATCAAGTATTGATAATTTCATATGTAAATCAGAGCGATAAGTAAGATCCCAGCATTCCTATTAAAAACTTGTAAGGAAACAAACACAACAAAATATCACCGTTATGAAAAAAAAGGACTTTGTAAGTGTTTATTCCACCGTTTATCTAAAGTACTGTAATAAAAACCATAATTTACTAATCAAATTAAAGGCAATTTTGGTGTTTATTAAATATATTGTTCGGCTCAATTAAATGTTGATTTTTGTAATCAAAAGCACTGAAACATTACACCAAATTAAAGATTAGAGCATTAGGTAAAAATTATAACTTTTATAAAAACTAAAATGATATATATCGAACAAATTGTGATTAGAAATTCAACTGATTTGCCCCACTTTTATTGTATACACAACCATAATGCTTAGCAACAGTGAATAAACTTTAATTTATGATCAAACTTTAATCTATGAAAATGTTTTGATTTACTAAAGCATCCTTTTAACAGGATATTTGATAGAAATTAGTGACAAAAACAACATAAAACTCTATTTACACAATTCTCATCCACACCACTAATACAACACATGATGACGTTAAACACTGAACAGTGACAATCTGATTAATCATTTCAAAACTCAATTACTAGTATAATCTAATTATGGGACAAGATAAATAAAAATAAACTTCATGAGTTAGTATGACAAAGCAATTACTTGTTTGCACGAAAAATTATAGGAATTAGAAGAATTATTCATATCAATTGATTAACCTATTTGATACAGATCCTATTTTTCACATGAAAAAAAAAATTAAAAAGTTGTATGATAATTTTTGATAAATAATAATGAACTATACTAAAATGAGAACAATAGGAAATGTTTTGAGACAATTAAATTTTGAAAATAAATTTGAAAATTCAACTAACCGAAGATACTGCATGAAAGCAATCAAACTGCTATCACAATTTCATTCTACAAATTGAAAACATGCAAAATTAAATTTTATGCTTAGCAATGCATGTGTTTTCTTTTTTTTTCTCTACCTTTCTTATATGTCACAATTACTTTGCAAAACTTATTCAAAGAAAATCTATGCATTCATTTTACTTCTGAAATACTACAGCAAGAAATGTAAACATTCTAAATACACCGAAGCGCAATAGCTTCTTACAACTGTCCCACATTTATTCTGGTCTTCAGGATTGAACTTTAATTTGCTATCAAATTTTGTGAACAATACTTTTTCTCTATTATCTCAGAAATATAAACTAAGAATGATATAAAACAAAAAGTAGTAATTAATATTAGCAGACATTTCAGGAAATGATCAAACTTGGATAATTATTTACAAACTACTTTTTCAGATATGTTAATAAGTATTCCTTTTCGTATTAAAATAAAGTGCTTATTTTTTCAATGAAAATGACAGACTTTACAGAAACTTTAAGGTTCAAAAAAAGAAATTGACAAAACTTGCCAGAAACCAAAACGAGAAATTAGTCAAGTGTGATACATCGTAATACGTATGAAAAATCGATTTAAAAAAAAAATAGCCTACATAATTTTGATACTTTTACTTGCGTTTTTACGCAACAAAATGTGATAATTGTTTGTAGAGAAAAAATACGCTAAAACCATCAACTGTTATTGCATTTTATACATTTGTGTTAATCCTTAATGATGCCAAAATATGTTACATAATAAAAGTTTTGTGTTGCTCGCAGTATTAATAGGTATAAGCATTCTTATAAAATACAAAAACGAAAAAAAGAATAAGTTGTTTCTGAACATTTAGTCATTATAATAAGAAGTGAAAAAGATTTTAGCATTAAAAAACAAAGTATCAAATTATTTTAAATATGCAATTGCTAAGATTCTAGCACAGAGAAGTTTTTAACCTCATAATATATTTACTAAAAATTTCGCATGAGATAAGAATATAGTTGAAAAACAAAATAATTATTAACTAATGCCAACTTCCTGTAAAAACAATGACACGATGAATGAAAGAAAATTTGAGATTCTGTAATATTACCTTTTTTTTCTCTTCTTTTTTTTTTTGCTAAATTTTAATGTACCGCTACTCCTACTGCATCAGTAAGTAATAATGATAAGTAACTAATTTCTATACTTATTCTTCTACTCAAAAACTGGTTCATTACATCAAATGATGATTAATGCCAGACTTTTTTAACGAAACAAATTAAGAACAGTTGAACTGACTGTGTGTAGTAGCATGAGAGATATTTCCTTTACTTTCAAAAAATAATTTTAGAGAAATAAAAAAATAAAAGAAGTATATTATACAAGTGATGTTATTAATCATTAATTATAAATGACAAGCATTTTAAAGCAAAAGTATTATGTCAAAATGTATATTATGATTGCATAAATAATTACTCATAAACATAACTAAAATGATTATTTTTTATGCGTTAATAAAAGAGTAATTAAAATATTTACACCAATTTTATCCCATAATTGAATATAATGTTTTTTTTAAAAAAAAGAGCATTTTCAGAAATAGTCATTTATTAATTAAAGAAAATTGCAATTATTAGAAAACAAAGAAATAAATACGAACGTTTTAGCGGGAATGAAATGAGAATGATTGAAATAAAGAGAGCAAAAATCAAATTTTATAAGACATAAAATGTATATAACATAGTTTATACTATACCACAGGTGGTGGATATCTATCCATCTATTAGTGAAACATGAAATAATTAGAGCAAAAAGAACCAGTTTTATTCGTACAACCTTATTTTGAATGAACAATGCACATACTAAATTATAGAAAAAATAACTATACTTGATTAACTGTCTGATAGTAATTTAAAAGAATGAATTACAGGTTTAAAACCTCTTATTTCTAACAGGCAGAGTGTTTGGAAAAATTATTTCAATATGACAGTATAATTTTAGAAAAAAATTTGATGAATAAATTGATAAAACAAATACATTCAGATATATCTGAATTTATCTATATAATTAAGATTTTATTCATTTCTATGTATATAATATATACATAAGTTTAAAAAAATCAAAATTACATTTCAATATAAATACATTTTCTGATTTATACAACATTATTTAATTGCTACCTAGCACATTAATTTGATACAAGCATTAATATGCTAATAAAATTTGATGCTTTATGATGGATTATAAATTGAGGGAGAGAGAAATCTGATAATTGCAAAAGAATAAATATATTAATGAAAAGTTTCAACAAAAATTAACGATATGAGATTATATTTAAGAAGTTTAGAGACACTCGAACAATGTATAAGAAAGTACAACAACTATTCACAGAGCACACTTAAACATTTGGAATGGGATTTGCATTGATGAGCTTGAAAAACCACTTGCATGTCTGTCATTAATAGAAAATTTGACTTGCTACTGAATGTAAATATTCTTGAAACTGAAATTCTTTGAAGGAAGAAATCAATGTAAGCACAAGAAATCTAACAGGATCAAGCAATCCACTTCGAGCAAATACGCATTTGAGGGAAATTGATCAATACAGCGAGTTTTTGCAATTTTTTTTTTGTGGATGGTCACACTTTACAGAACAATACCAGAAAATCCCGACATTTTCATGAAAATTCATGACATTGCACTGGATGAGAAAAGTCCTACCACACATGCATATTTTATAAGCAGAGAGGAAAATAATACGAAACTACCGAATTATTGACTTTATATCTCATAATGAGCAAAAGAGCTAATCAAATGTAAATGTAATTTTATTTTAGGCAAGGATAAATACAGTTAGAAAAACTAAGAAATTGTGAATACTGCAAAAAAAGACTTCCATATCAACTACAATTATAAAATTACTTTGAAAAGAATACAAATAGAAGTTTGCTATATCTGTTGTACGAGTAAAGAATTATCCACGACATTTTGCGATGATAAGGAAATAAAAGTGAATAGAGGCAAGTTAATGAAAAATTCGATTGATTTATTAGCGATAAATGAAGACAATATTTTTGAATGAATAAATGATGAAAACAAGTCTGCAGTGAAAAAAAATGAAATTATCTACTGATTATGCAAGCTGTAATCACAAAACATTTCATATGATATCGTGGGATAAGCAAAAGTCACTGTACTTACTCATTAATTTTCTACAAATAAAATTATAACAAGAAAAGCAGAAAATCATCGTTTAAGGATGATTTATTTTACTTTGTTTCCGCCACTTTTGCTTTTTCCATTAGCTACTGCAAATAACCAGTGGTACTCAAATTCTTTCAACCCATCATCATACATTCATTCAGTCATTTCACTCATCATCAGTTCATTTGCTTAAGTAATCTTCATTACAATTTTTCACTTTCAAATTTAAATTGATAATCCTGTATATAATACTTGGTAATTCTTTTTTCTACACAGAAACACTACAATAAAGTTTGCAGAAAACAGATTTAACGAATAAATAAATAACTAAACTGAATTAACAAAAATAAATGCATTTCAATAGCATTAGCAATGTAGTAGCATTATTAATAGCAAGGAAAACTCTTCACATCATGTCCTTTTGTCTCTTACGTCGATAGAAATACAAAAACACTAAAAAGGAACACAGCAAGGTCGTTTACTGCATCATAAAATCCACAAAAAAAAG